CACACTTACTGACTGATGGGTAACACAGGTAGGACTTTCTCTGTTTGACTATTTACAGAACTTAGAAAAGCAGTTTAGGATTAATTCTATGAGAAGATGTTCCCAGAAATGATTTGTGTGCTATTGTAGAACTATGAGCCATCAGCTGTTTGAGCCACAACAGAAAACAGGAAATAGATGAGTGATGATACTAAAAGATACATGCAGGCAGGAAAAATATCCATCCAGCAGCTCTTTGTAAAACGTTCATCTGTTTATAGCTTTAGTTATATCTTTGTTTCAGTTTTTAGAAGTTTCCTCCATTTCTGGTCTCTAAAGCTGAGAAAGACTTAATAAATAGATGAACTCTGACCACATGGTGGCAGCAGGTGGAGGCTGTTGCTGCTGCAGTTATCTGGAACCAGAAAACTGAGCTCACAGTTAAAACCAGGACCAGCAGCTTTCTGCAAACTGACCTCTGACTCTAGCACAGAACATTTGTCTGTCAGCCTGTGCTGCCACCTGCTGATGGCTCAGCTGTTTCTGCATCAGACACCAAGCTCAGTTAGAGCCAGATGGCATTTCGTGGAGGATGAGGATGATTATCAGCAAAAAGATTATTCAGACATTCAAATTACAATTTTTTTTTATTGGTTATGAACTCAATAAACAACGAGTGACTGCATTATGTATATACACCTGATAGCAGGCTTTAACGAGGAATGAGTGAACTGGAGAAGCTTAATTATGGGACAAAGTGAGTAGTGCAGAACAGGTGTGACAGGGAGCACACCAGAAAGGAATTGAGTTGGTGAGAGGAAGACTGATGAAAGTGTACAACTCTAAATAGACTGGAAACAAGGAAACAAAGTCAAACGTCCATCGATCAATTTTCCATAACGCTTATTCCTCACAGGGTCGCAGCAGGAGAAGAGCCAATCGCAGCTGAAAACGAGAAAGAGGCGGGGTCCACTCAACCGAGGTCAGTCCGTCAAAGGAACACACACAGACATTTAAGCATTCAAGTCTCCCAGCAGAACAAGGGAGTCCCTGGGAGGGGAATTTATCTGATCAGGAATCAGTCAGATTGGTTCATTCACCTGCTTTTCTTTTCTGTCCTTCATAAAAAAAACAGTTACTTACTCCAGAGTGTCTTATGGAGCTCCCTTTGGTGCTGATCAGCAGCTGTTGGATCAAGTCAATAAGTCTAGTAAAGTCCATCTAAAAGATGCAGATCTGCATAAATGTCAGATTATTTTTGTGTTCTGCATCATCAACACTCGCATAGAGTCAGATGTGAAGGCTGCCATGGAACAAATCCCAGGTAATATGAGGAAAGACCTTTTTACTTAAAAAAAAAAGAAAAACCTTTACAGTGAATTTCTAACTTTCTTTTTCTCTGCTTTAATCTCAGAATCAGCTGGTGATAAACCTGTGATTCTTGTTGTGATGCACCACACCAGAGACATCAACTTTACAACAACAAATTACCAGAGGGAATGGAAGGAAAAATATAAACGAGTTCAGCTTGATGTGGAAGTTCTCTTTCACAGGAGTGAAGGAGGCTTACTGAGATGTGAGAAGAACCACCAAGCTGTTAAACAAATAAAAAAGTTACTGAAAGAAAATATGATACAAAAGAGGAAGAAACCAGTCAAACATAAAAAGAAGAGATAAGAGGGGATTTTCTTTTTCTGACTCAAAGAGCTTCTTTAAGAGTATTAGTAACACAGTTAATCCTGATGTCTATAATAAAGCTTCACTGATTATCACTGACTTGTGTTTTGATTCTTTAACTGATCAGGATCTCTTTGTTTCTGACTTCAGAATCTCTAAACCCTCTATTATCTTCTCACAGTGTTATTGGACACCATTTCTGTTCAACATTCTCATAACAGACGTGCAGAACTGCATCCAATAAATGTGGTAAAAAATAAAGAAAAGGTTCACAGGTTGAGATGAAAGTAGCACATATATCTAATTGTTGTTTGTGGTCATTTTAATTCTGAAGCTGCAAAACGGGACATAAAGAAACCCAATGTGGGCGGTGACATGACTCCTGCTGCTGATTTTGACCTCAGAACAACCCCAGAGCTTCAGTAAAGGCAGCTCCCATGATGCACCTCTGCTGGTCCTGGACCATGATCTGCACAGGGATCGAATCAGAGAGCAGAATCTGTTGGTTTCCTCTGAGGAAACTTCTTTTTTAATTGGTTGTGAATAAATTGGACTAATTTGGGGTTTTATGAGTCAGACTTTCTAATTGTACTCTAATCGGCTTAAATTGGACCAAATCTGAGGTGTTCTGAGATGTTTGTTGTGATTTGGCTCTTTTTCAATAAAACTGAACTGCACTATTTGGTTCTGGAAGTGCAGCTGATTTCACTGATTCCCTTAGGATTATTAAAACACTTGCTCTGAGCTTTCTGTGAAATTCCAGAACCTCCAGTTAGTTCTGCTCCGCTCACTTGATGTTTGCTTTG